CATTTTGCTTATTGTTCCAAGTGAAGTAGCATCCAGTTGATTTCAGATGAAGAAGGTGACTGGAAATGATAAAGTTCTGAAAATCCTCAATATCAGATTCTGACACAGATACACCCCCTATCTTCTCATCATAACCAGTGATTGCATTGAAATCCCCTCCAATAACCCAGGGACCAGTAACATTACTTTTAAAAGTTAAAAGATCACTCCAAAGAATTCTCCTGCTTGTCATTTGATTGTGGGCATAGACAATAGTGCATAAGCTGGAGAATTTACCATCTCTGGATTCTATCCGACAGGTAATGTATTGGTCTGTTAAGATTATTTCTTGCACTGTAAGAATGTCACTATCCCACAGTAACCAAATCCTTCCATTACCAGCTTCATGAACATTAGAAATCCACTTCCAGTCTTTTGTTATTTTCATAGCCAAACTTTGAAGCTTATTACCAGGAATTTTAGTTTCCAGAAGACCCAACAATGAGAGATTGTATTCTTGAATAAACTGTCTCACTATCTTGTGTTTAGAGGATTTATTAAATCCTCTTATGTTCCAAATAGCAATGTGCATTTAAAAAGAACTCCCACCCCTGTCAACACATGAGGGATTATCCAATGAAGAGAAAAGAGATAACTGAATACCTGGGTTAGGAGGTTTGATTATAGAAGCTCTTCTTGCAATTTTTGCTCTGCTTATACTGGAAAAACCAGTTGCATTAACACTTGGTGTAGCTTAATGGATTTGTAAATCATTTATTGCATTTATCCCATATTCTGCTGCTTTTCCAGTCCCAGATTCATTCACCTGAACAGCAATAACTGTCTGTGCATGTTTTTGTGCACGTTTTTCAGTTAACATATCTTCCTGATTTGGTGAATCAAAAGGATTTGCTGCTTTCCCTTCCTGAGCACTAGTGCCAATATTGGCATCAGAATCTTGGTGTGTAGAGTTGTTTCCTGTAACAATAGGCTCAGGATTGGCTTTCTCCTGCACAGTCTGCTTAGCTTTTGGAACCCACATTTTCTTTGTTTTGATTCTTCTACATTGTTCATTATCATGGCCAATTTTGCAGCATATTGTACACCATTTAGGCTTATACTCATATATGACTGGTTGAACATAGCTAGATCCATTTGGCCCTTTTATTGTCAACTGATCTGGCAAAGAGTCATTTAAAGGTAATTTCACCTCTATTAAAACTCTTGCATAGCTAAGTCTCTCTCTTGTTGCAGTTAGCTTGTCAGTTGAAATAGGCTTTCCAATAAGACTAGCAACTTTACTAATTCCTGTAGAGCTCCAGAGATTTAATCTTAAGTTTGGGAATTGTATCCACATAGGATAGTAGAAATCTTGCATCTTATCCAAATCTGCTTCAATACTCCAAGGTTGTAACATAAGAGGCCGAGATCCAAAGAACCAGGGTCCTGCTTCAAGAATATCTCTCATTGATTTCTCTGAATGAAAATCAAAAAGGAAAAGTCCCTGTTTGATTAAGGAAACCTTCGGTATAGAAATAGATCCCCATAACTTGCTAACATAGGATTCCATTGATTTACCTTCGGTATAGAAATAGATCCCCATAACTTGCTAACATAGGATTCCATTGATTTAAACTTGACATTTAATCCTATGACATGTCCAATCCCATAACTTGCTAACATAGGATTCCATTGATTTAAACTTGACATTTAATCCTATGACATGTCCAATTAGAGCATTTTTCCATAAATTTTCTCCTTCCTTCCATTCTTCATCAGAAAATGAGACTGTGCTAGCATTATACGATGGCAAATAGCTCAGAGATAGTCCACTTCCTGTTTTTCTATTATCAGTAAACAAGCTAGCAAAAGTTTTATTTGTTACTGATTCCATCTTTTCCACATTTTCCTCATTTTTCTGTATTTTTTCCTGGCCCTTTCCTTCTGATTTTTCATTAGAATTGACAGGATTTTTATCAACATTCCTATTTGAATCATCAGTATCTGAGGAAACAATATCCCCAGTCCTAATCTCAACCGGATTTCTCTTATCCGCAGTATTCACAGGATCATAACCAGAGAATTTCGAAGAAGATGCAGAAATTTTCTGAATCAAACTTGAATCAGGAGAAAATACCTCAGATTCAACATCATCCGCCCAGGAAACTTTGGAACTGCTGGCTCTATCTCCTGAATTGAGGATACAAGGAGCTTGAGCTCTATTCAACTGGAAAGAATTCGCCACTTGCTGAGAAGCCATTAGATCCTTAGATCGAAGTAGATCCTCCATTAATACCTTCTTTTTTTCCCCTTTCGGACCAGTCGAGCCCATTGCAAAAGTATCATCATCATCTTCATCAAAACTCATATCAAATTGATCACCAGATTCAGCCGGATTAGAATTGGAAGCTCACAATCCTATATTAAAAAGACTTTTACCGCTCCTCTTCTTCTTCTTCGCCATGAAAAACAAGGCAGGGGCGCAAGTTAGTAAGATTTAGATCTCCCGCTAACTTGCACCATCAGACTCCCGCCACTTTTAATTTTAAACAGTTTTCTTTTTGTTCCTTCAAATGGTAACGAACACCACGATATGGGGAGATGAAACCCGGCATGGTCGTGTATCCCGCATCACACAAGTAATATTTTCCTACAATTTATATGATGTGAAAGTGTTTAGTAGAATTTTTTGTCATTTCATTGAATATCATTTATTAATTGAAGTAATTAAAACAAAATTGAAGAATTGATGAAATTACCATCATATACTTTCAAACCATGAGGTTGTGGTCTAGACAATGCATCTTGAAGGACTCTAAAGTCATTTGCAGAACCTTCCCATCCAGCTAATACGTAAGTGAATAACTTGTTTGGGTTACAAGCCGCTAAAACATTTTGTGTAACACCTTTTCGACCACGAAATCGTGGTTGAAGATTAGCAGGTAGCATAGCATCAACATGTGTCCCATCTATCATACCAATACAATCCTAAAGGATAAAAAATTATTATTAAATATTTATAATTAAGTTAGATGAACATGCTTTTAATCACAAATTAAAGAGAGAATACCTTGAAATAAGGATAGTATAGAGGGTTGCTAAGGATCTCCTGTGGAACTTCATTCTGTGCTTGTCTTAAAAAGCGTGATCGTATGAGGCAAATTGCTTCTAACACTTTGTTGAAATACCTACTCACAGTCTCACCAGATCTAATAAAATGTGACCTAATACTTCGATTTTTAGTTTTATGCCCCAAAATATTCAAAGTCATAGCAAGTTGCTCCTCCACTGTAACATGTCTTGAGTCTCGCAATAAATCATTCCTCCTCATTATCCCTGTAAGCTTCACAAAAGCACCACTACGCATTCTAACATAGTTAACACAACTATCACTAAATCCATTATATATACGATCCAAGTGTTGTTTTCTATTTTGATATTGAATTGTTTTCTCAACACTAGGACCTACACATATAGATCTACGTATGCTTTGCATTCTCCTCATGAAGGTTATAACTAAAACTAAGACAGATAGTGCAGCACTCGAACACATATTAATTACTGTCTCTTCATCGAGATCACCATCCATCTAAAATACAAACATCATATTAAAGCAAATACCAACATTAAATGCAAATGATCAAAATCTTTTAAGAAAATTATCCTAATTATTTATGAAATGTTTGACAAATTCTCCTAGCTGCAGATAATCAAACTATTTAATCAAAATACAAACGTCGCACTAGAAATATGTAGGATACTCTCATAATTATCAAATTCACCTTGATCCTCTTACAATAATGAATTTATCATCTATGCTTGCTTTATTTTGAGAGATATAAGTTGCAAAATTGATTTCTCCAACGCATCATATGAGAACAAGTCAGATAACCATACAAGCTCATACTATTAATAATTTCTATGAGATATACGTTGCAAGGATTATACATATCAAATTAAGACTAGTTAGATAAGCTAGAAAATAATCTCTACAATCAAAATTTTCAAATAATAAATAGATGTCTGCATACCAAAATCTCAAAAAACAACCAATACATGACATGCAAACTGGAAAAATACACAGAATAATATTTAGTAAAAAATTTTACCTTCCTAGTGGCAGAAAGCAGAGAACTGTAGTCAAACTACAGATTTGAAGTCGTTTTGCTGAAATCGTAGTGGGAAATGGTGGTCAAAATACCTAAACTCAGACAAATTTTAAACCTGGCATCAAAGGAAGAAGGAAATTGATAAATGAAAGCCATAAAAAAAATTAAATAAATACAAAAGATTTGATTTTTAGCATTGTACCTCCATAAATCAACCAAGATCTTGTACTGTTTTCCCTTTTGTTCGAAGGCTAGGGTTTCAATCGGCGTCAGACAGCACACATGCGATCCATGTACTGTTTTCCCTTTTGTTCGAAGGCTAGGGTTTCAATCGGCGTCAGACAGCAATCGGAGAGCGGGAGAGAGAGAAGGGCGGGAGCGGGAGAGAGGGGCGGGAGCGGGAGAGAGGGGTAACCAGAACGAGTGGCGTTTTCCGCTGTAACCAGAGATTTTTGTACGGGAGAGAACGAAGAGGCATTTTCCGCTGTAATCAGGCGTTTTCGAGCGGAAAATGGAAGGGCGAAAAAGCTGTCAGAAAGCCCGCACGTTTCTCCACTTTCTTTTTTCTTTTTAACGAAGCAAACACCCGATTGTGAGGGGAAGTGCCAAATTTACCCTGTGTCCCCAAAGGCCATTTTCCCTCATTTTCTGCATTTTTTGGCCGAAACAAACAGGCCCTTAGATGATGGCACCTAACATCTATTCTATGCTATGTAGGCAAGAGGGAGAGAAAGCGTTTGATCTTTTCCCCCACTCTGTACTCAACGTGATTGTTTTTGGCCATCTCATTGGCCTTAGCGCTTTAAAAGATTCCTAGAAGATAATATTTCCTAATATGAGAGGAGCGAATGATTAGCAATAATCCCATAAATAGCCAATGCTCACGTACGCTTTGAAGCTAAAACACCGCCATGAATCAATGCATGTTCTGCCGGAAAAAAACTTAGGAAACAACTACTGAGATTTACAATGCATGTTCGCGATTTTCGCACGCATACTATTACGGACAACTCTTTTATCTCCAAGACATCTCGCATAATGCGATTCTGCGCGAGAAGTGAAAGGCTTTTAGCCTTCAGCCCCTCTCTCAGAAGAAAAGCGGGAAAAAAAAACCACGCCCCAACGCAGGTGAATGACAAAAGCAGCTAGCTAGCTGCAAAGCAAGCAGCGCAACGACCCCAATCTCTGCGTTCGCACACAGCAGCAGCTGTGCTGTTTCTTCTTTAATCGATTCCGTCACAGTATCAATGAGGGCCCTTGGATGCGCCCCATCATAGGGACAGCAGCATCCCAAGGCTTCACAGGGGGCTATAAAGATATCAACCGAGGCCTTTGAATTCCTTTGCTTTTCTTTCTCTGTGCTCCCCCCCTCATCTTCCTCCTTTCCAAAAGCGTGCAGAGATTTCCTTGCCTTGCTTAGGGGTTCCCTCCGAGTCAAATACGGCAGAGCTTTTTTTTTCTTCCCCTGCTGCAAGCCAAACAAAGTAAAAAAAAAAAAGCCAAAACAGTACCCATCACTTTTATCTTTCTGGTAAATTATGAGAAAGGGTAAATTCACAAAACTATCAAAAAAAAAAAATGCCTTGTAGCTCAATGAAAATACCTGAAAGTTCATGGTTGTTATCTCGGAATGAAGTAAATTTCACAGTAGATTAGTGATTTTATCTGCAGGTTCACAGTAGGTTAGTGGAACATAAAACAAAATTTATGATATTTAATTCTTTTGTAGTTTCTTGGTAGTACGTAGTATTTTTCTGTTGATTTTAATGCTAAAAGATAGTGTGGTGTTTTTGAGTGACATTTCTAATAGTTCATGGTAGTTTTGTGACATCTACCCTATAAAAACCTAATCTCAAATTAAGGTTTGAATTTTTTTTTAAAAATAACAGTTTGTTCAACCCATTTCCGATTCCTTAAAAGTTAACATGAATGCGAAAAACAATGACGATGGAATATGACAATTATTTCTATCTGGCATAAACATTTACATAGAAAAGATGACGAAATGATGCGATTGGAAATTGAAAATGAGGGGTGTTACTTTTAAAACCATAGTAGGATTCTCCGCGATTCTTACAAATTAAAGAGGGTTTTCTGCAATTTCACTTTATCTTCCAGAAAGGATCCTGGTTTTTAACTGTAGCGTGAACGAAACTGCATATATATATACAAAAGGATCACTTACTGTAAAACATTGTCAGGCATCTTCTTTATCTTTATCTCAGTAAAGAAAAAGTAAAACAGAAGGCTAGATGCCCTGATCTAATTCTTGATCGTGTATTTTGAGGGTAAAATTATGAGGGGCTTAAGTAACAGGAATTTTATAGGTTATTATTCATTTCTACCCTTATAAGTTAGAGCTATGCATCCCGTGATCTTCTTAATTTGACAAACCATCAAATACTTAATCACACTCAGCTCTTTGTTCTGAAACAACCCAGTGTAGTATGATTTCGATAAATATCAAACTGTTCTAGAAATAGGGAAAAGTGTATTCTCAAAATAGAAAAGGTATTTCTATTCTAAAGTCCAAGAATCCACCTCAGTTGTATCAACCCAAGATCCAGATCTCATTCATTGTAATAGTCCTTCAAAAGTTATGAAATCAAAAGGCCAGAAGATAGATTTCCAAATCTAGCTCGCTAAGATCTTTGATGTTTTGCTTACTGCTAAAGAATGATATCTAGAAATCATAAAGCACGATTTTTATCACTTCAATGATTTGGAACACTGTCAGTTTGCTTTCTGCTTTATTCCCAAAATGATTTGAAACAACCAAACAAGCTCTCTGTTCAAACTCGAGCTGACTAAAAGTTGAAGTCTTTGGAGGGTAAAAACTTCTCTCACATAGATGATAAGGGTACATATGTAACTTCCTACATCAATCATTCATGTCATGCCTTTCCAACTTAAAAGCTTAGATATATGCTGCTACATTCATAAACACTTCATCTTTATTTCTTGTTCTTTCAAGTGTTTCATGGATAATGAGCGCTCGTGGAATTTGGGGGGTGGCTTCTATTTTCCGTTAATCTTGAGATTGCGACTTTCATGGGAACAGATGAAAGCTTTATGAGATCACACTCGCTGCCATTTTGGTTCCTTCTCTTGCTCTCTTTTTCCATCTTAGTTCGCCCAACTCAGCAACTGAAGACCTCCATTACCTCCTTTTCGACCGCTAGGAGTCTTCTCTCTCATTCCATGTCTCAAGCTAAGAAGTTGTCCCCGGAGACGCCCACTTCGCCCCAGCAGTTTGAAGACACTAAACATGAAGTCCCTAGTGGCCCCAACCCCATCAACAATAGGTAGCAACAATATCATCATCTCTGGGTTTTGGTTTTTATGTTGTACGAGTGTATTCATAGACGTCTCCACGTGTATATTTGTTTGGCTTTCGCATTAGATCAACATCAATGTACAAATTGCAGAGAGTTTTGCTATTAATACATTCCTTCGCCAGTCAGTTACTACTGTTTTGCAAGCTGCTTATGTGTTCCATCTGTCATTATTTCATAGTTTTTTTTTCAATTTAACCTCTTCAATCAAATATAGATCTGATTACTTGTACTATTTCTTCAATAGAAGAGAAGATATAAGTTTGGGGTTGTCTATGATTTCTTCAGGGATATAAGTTTGTATACCA